CCAGCTGCGGTGCCACATCAGTCCCCCCACTCTTGCAGGATGAAGGCCGGGAGCTTCTTCCCTCTCAGCACTGCAAGTGAAAAACGAGGGGTTCTTGCAGTTATTGCAGCGCCCCGTCCCAGGCGTTTGGCTCTCGTGTTTCCCCACGTGTCCCACGTGTGGGGCGGGTGTCGCTGGGGGGTTTCCCGCTGTCGGGTGCTGGGGTGGCCCCGCTGGGGAGGGAAGTGCCACCGTCCCCTCCCGTGGCGGGCGCGCTCCGGCGGAGGAAGCGGATACTGCGGTGGGAGGAGGAGGAGGGAACGTCCTGTGGGTGCCACAGGTGCTGCCCCGGGGAGCCCTGAGCGGGGACCGTGCCTGGTTTTGGCACCCAGAGCCCCGGGGAAGGAGCAGGGAGGGGCGACACCGGCGTGGCTGGGGAAGGGGAGACATCTCCTGCTCCCACGCTGCCTTGTGCTGTCTCAGGGGGCCGTGAGTGGAGCTGGTGCCTGCAGGGGTCTGTCCGGGGTGTTTGGGCCTGGCCTGGTCCCCCCTGTGCCTTTGCCATGGGGCTGTTGGGCTGCAGGACCAGTTTCCGGCGCCGTGACCTTCGCTGCCCTCTCTGACCTCTGCGATCCTGCGCCTCCTCCCTTGGTGGCTGCCGGGGAAACCCTTGGTCCCGAGGGTGACAATCCTGCCTGGGGTGGCCCCTGTGCCCCTGGAGCCAGCCCTGCCCCTGCAGGTCATGTGGTTTGTCACGGTGAGTCACTGTGCTGGCTCCTGCCACCAGAGGAGGTGACAACACCCCGGTGTCACCTCTGGGTGCCCTCCTGGGGCGCCCGGCGTGGGAAGGGTTAAGGAGGGAAGGCTTCCCTTGCCAGGGGTGTTGCTGGGAACAGGCAGTGAGGAGAGGCTGCCATCTGCACATTGCGATTTGGTGAGTGTGCAGGGGAGGGGCCCTGCCCCGGCCCCTGGGGTGCTGGGGCCCCCCTGTTTCCCGGGGAGAGGTGGGGGCTCTGCTGCGGCACCAGGTGGGAGGTGGGGGGCCCTCAAAATCCCCCAGGAGTTGGTGTTGCCGTGGTCTGACCGTCTGCTCCACGTGTCCATGTCCCTCCACTGTGGGAACTGGACCTGACTCAGCCCCAGCGGGCACCAGGGTGGGGGTCATGCCCTCCCCGTGCCCTCCTCGTGCCCTCTCCGTGCCCCCCACACCTTTGAGAGCAGCGTGTCCAAGGGTTTCACCTGTTGGAACCCCGCAGGTGTGCTGGGCAGAGGTGCCAGAGCAGACCCCCCAGTGCAGGGATCCCCCCACGTCCCCTGGTGTGTCCCTCCCCGCTGCAGCCGGGGTCTCTTCCCCTCCCCAAACACCTCCCACTGATGACAGCACCTGACCTGTCTCTCCCAGTGATGCTCTCAGCAAATGCAGCCATTCCAGCAGCTTTTTGCCTTCCAGCCTTTTTCCCATGTGGGACTGTGGCTCCCAGCAGCCCACGGGTGGGTGCTGAGTGCTGGTGGGGTCCACGAGGTGGGAAGGTGAGCCAGGAGAGCTGTGCAGTTTCTCCTGGGACATATCCCAGAGAGCAGGCAGGGAAAGGTGCTTTAGGCCCGTTTTTCTGCTTTAATTGGCTGGTTTGGCTTTTGGAACCCACGTGTCCATCTGGAGGGTGGGTCTGTCCATGCTCTGTGCTCTGGGGCTCAGTGCAGCCTCTCTCACTCCACTGGGGATGCAGCTCAGCTTTTCAATTCCCAAAGAGAAAAATCTTAAACCCAAGCCAAGAAGGGTAATTTTGGGGGAGTTGAGGTTTTTTTTTTCTTTCCATCCCCACTTGGCAACATAAACAGCATCCCTGACAGCTTTACATTGAGTTTGCCATGGCAACCTACAGCAGCCAAGTGTTTCCAACACCCCGTTCCCAAAGTGGGAGAGGAGATGAACCTCAGTGGGTGCTGCTGAGGGGCAGTGTGTGGGGCTGGGGTGCTGGTGGCAGGGGGCAGGTCCTTGGGGAAGGTGATCCATGGTGATCCACGTGACCTGAGGTTTGCTCATGGACCTGATCCTGCTTGTCCAAGCCAGAGTTCGTGGCTCTGGGCAGGGGGATGTGGTGGCTGCTCTTGCTCTTCCTCAGCACGGTGCTTTCTGCCCTGGATGGTGGGAGATGTTCAGGCTGGAGGGGAGCTGAGCTGGGGCAGGGATTTCATCCTCCTTCGTGGATAAAGGAAAAAACCAGCTGAGCTTGGTCAGGGCTTGCTCCATCTCTGGTCATCTTCAGGGAGGACGGAGCAGTGCTGGGGTCTGCTCCGATGTGCTGAGCTGGGAGGATCCATGGCCTTGTCCAGGGACCCAGTGATGGCTCCTGCTGGCATGTGCCAGCTCCTGGTGCCATCGATGTCACAGCGAGGCCACTCTTGGCTTGGCCGAAGGCATCACGTGTGACACGTCCAGCTGATTCAATTATCCTTGTCCCTCTCTGAGCACTTTCCTCTTCCCCCGCTTAAAAGCCAGCGGGTCCCTTTCCCTGTGCCAGCAGGTCCCTTTCGCTGTGCCAGGGGCCGGGGTGGGCAGGGGGGATGCTCTGGTGCTGGCTCTGGCCGTGGCTGCTCTCCCTGCCAGGACGGAGGTGTCGTGCAGCCGTTTATTATTCCGGGCAGGTTCGCCTGCAGCACGGCATCGGCTCCGGCTCCGCCGCTCCTCGCCAGCCGCTCCCTCCTGCCCGGAGCTCGCGCCTCCCCCAGCCCACACCCCCGGCCCGTGGCTCCAGACAGTCCGTGTCCCTCATCCCAAACTCCACAGCAGCCCTTGTCCTGCCCAGGGATGTCGTCTGGGAGCTGACACAGCTCCGGGGGTGGTCCCGTGTTCGCACAGGGCGCTGGGGCTCCCGCTCCTTGTTTTCTTCCCAAGGAGGCCCTCGGGGAGCACTTGTTCCTCTCCAGTGCCTGGGGGCTCTGGAAGTGAATTATTGGAGTGAAGGGCAGCCTGCTGAACGCTGCTGGAGTCATTAGGAGCTCGTTAGGATGATGGCTCTTAGGGAAGCCTGAGTGCAGCTCTCTGGACCGATCCTTCCCAGTTTGGCCAAGGAACGCGGGAGCCTGTGCTGGACTGGTGGGATGGGGCAGAGACAGGCCAGGAATGGGTCTGTGACCCCAGATGGGCTGGAGGAGGGTGCTGAGAGCAGACACAGGAGTCTGTCCCCCACCACAGCCCCTCCTTTCCTGAGGGGCAGAGTCAGTCCCGGGGCTGGAGCCGTGGGTGGGACACGGGCTGGTGCTGATGGTGCCATGAGCTCCTCCAGGGGTAATTATGGACTAGGCCGTTACAGGATTAATTAACTGTCTTTCTCTTAACCTCTGAGCTCTCCTCAGACAACGTTGGTTGCTACGAAAGAGGAAAAAATTAGCGTGTTGGGGTGAGGGAATTATCTTTTTTTCTCTTAATCAGCAGGAGTCTGCTTAATTGGGCCTGCCACCTCCTGCTTCCCGCTGCTGGGAGCCAGCACGCCTTTAAATGATGGATGAGCTCAGCTCCACGAGGAGCTGGGGGGTAACCGGGCTGGGAATGGGCAGGGATGCTGGGGTGGGAATGCTGGAGTTGATCTCTGCTCTATGGGGCAGCAGCAATGCTCTGCCCCAAGGGTGCAGGTTTGGGTGTCCCGGGAGCCGCAGTGCTCCCCATCCCTGAGCTCCTTGTGCTCCCAATCCCTTCAGTGCCTGCAGCTGGGGGACAGGACCCTCCTGTGTGATGGCATTGCTGGTGTCCCTGGGGTTCAGTTGGTGCCTGTTCTGTCCTGATAATGCCCAGAGCTGCTCCCGGGGGCCAGGCAGGGAGGGGTTTGCTCTCTGGGCTCTGGTGTGACTGCAGTTGGGGTCCCGAGCTGTGGGGTGAGCTGGGACAGCCCCAGGGTGGTGTGGTGCCTGCCTGTGGGGTTTGTGAGGGCTGGTGCATCCCGTGTGTCCCTGGGAAGCAGGGATAGATGTCCTTCCACCTCCCTCCCGTTCTTGTCTGGCTCCTTGTCTTCCCTGTTCGCTTGCTCTGCCACCTCCTGACCCTGTCTCAGGCTGCTGCTGCTGCTGTAGTGGCCGTTCCTTTTGTTATTCATTTATATTGCTCTAGGAAAGACTTCATTTTCTCTGCATAAGAGCCTCCCTTGCAGGCTCTTTGCCTCTGGAGCGCCGGGAGCATCGCTGCTGGCATTGGAGCTTGGGTACAGAGCTGGAGGGCACCCTGGGTGACAAACAACACTTTTCCCCTCTGGCCTGTGCTGTTCTGTCTGCTCCCTCCATGTCCCTGTTTGTCCCTAACACCCATCCTCTCTGTCTGGAATGCCAGCGGGGGACCCCAGATCCCTGGGGAACGTGGGAGCCGCTGGATCCTGTGTCTGCCTGGCCACAGCGCTTGGTTCAGGCATTTTTGGGACTCCCCTGTCCTCTCTGGCAGGGCTGGGGGGTTGTAACCTGGCTGGCAGGTGCTGAGAGCCGAGGCCAAGAGCCACTCGCTGCCTTTGAGGGCTTCTCTGAAAGGGTCATTGGTGGAAAAGCCTCTGTTATAGAGGAACTCACAGATTTTAGTGGCTTCCCTGGTCCCTGTGGTGTCTCTCAGCTGGTTCCAAGCCTGCTGGGTGCAGCGAGCCCCTCTCCACGGGTGTGGGATGCTCCTTTACCTGCTGGCAGGGCGGAGGGCGGCTCTCTGACCCGCGCAGGAAGCAGCTGTTTTCCGCTGCCGAGGTGTATTTTTAACCCAGAGTGAATGGGACATTTTTCTGGGCCGGGCAGCTGGGTTTGAGTGAAGAACCACCTGGGCTCCCTTCCTGCCATCGGTTTTCCCCGCGGCGTGTCCGCGCCGAGCCTGCCAGCTCCCTCCCGGGCCAGCTCCCTCCCGGGCCAGCTCCTCACCCCCCGGGCTTTTGGGTCAAAATCATGCCGAAACCGCGTTACCCCTGGCAGGTGCCCAGCCCGGGGTGCCACACACTGGTCCTCGGGCCTCCTTCACGCCGGTGTTTCTGTTTCCCCCCATCCCCTTGTTTTCGCAGCTCCAGTTGCTGTGGTATCCAGGGAGCCCTCCTCCTTCTGCAGGAGATGCACGCTGGTCGTTGCTAAGGTCGCCTCCGCGGTAACATGCACATCCTGTTTACACCTCTATCCGGAGAAGTTGGGCTCGGTTAGAGGCACCTGCTCCCCCCCCCAGGGAAGGGGCCGCACGGAGCGTGGCCCCCCCCCCCTTCCCCGCCGGACCCTCGAGGGAGCCGCGCGCCGGCGTCACCGGCACCATGACGAACAACGTGGCCGACCACCACCCCGGGAACTCGGTGGCCGAAGGCAACCATGAGGGGGACTTCGGGTGCTCCATGGTGGAGCTCAGGAACCTCATGGAGCTGCGGAGCGCCGAGGCGGTGGCCCGGCTCAACGACACCTACGGCGGCGTGCAGAACGTCTGCAAGAGGCTCAAGACGTCGCCCGTCGAAGGTGAGTGGCCGCCCCGTTGGCCTTGCCAGGTGGGGTTGTCACCTCTGGGCTGGAGGGTGGTGGCTCCGAGGTGTGTCCCATGGCCAAGCTCAGCTGGCGCCGTCATGCCCGCTGTCCATCGCGGGAGACGCTCCCCGCGTCTCGTAAAATGGTCATTTGAGGCAGAAAAGGAGGGAGAAGAAAGAGAAGCATCGTGTCAGGGGGTTCCCCCGGGGCGTAGCCCAGAGCCCCATGTCCCCTGGGAGGATGGAGCGGAGGCAGGATGAGCTCAGGGCTATCAGAGGGGCACGGGGGGCTCACAGCCAGAGCCCGGTCGCTGCTCTGTGCCAGCCTTTCCCATTTAATAATTTACAGAGCCAGTGGCAGGGCTGGGGGGGGTGAGAGGGAGAGTGTAAAGGTTGGATGGTGCTGGGGAGGTGGCTGGAGCTGTTTAAAGCATCTCAGACGAGGGATGGGCAGCACATCCCCCAGGGGGATGGGGAGAGGCACCCAGGTCACCCCTGATCTGAGGGGATCGCGAGGGAAAAGCTGGTTGGTGCCTCTGGGCATCACAGTTTGGAGTGGTGGTGGCAGTGATGCCTGTGGGTGCCAGGTCACCTCTGGGAGGCTTTGTGGAAGGATATCAGGATGTCACCTCTCCTTCCCACGGGCTGGGCTGGCTTTTGGGGTCCCCCTTATCAGTGAGGCTGCTGGCACTGGGGAGCTGTGGGTGCCTTTGGGTGGTGATGGACCCCTTCCCTGGCATTAAAGGGGTACCAGGGTGAGAGACCCCCCGATTACAGCACCCAGGGTTTACCTGGAACCGGGAGCAGGATGTGGCCCCTTGGTGGCTGTGGGGTGGGGGACGTGGCTGTGCCTCAGCTCTGAAAACTTGTGGGTTATTCTTAGTGCCTAAAGGTGGGGATTAGTGTGTTTCCAGCTGTGAGTGGGACCGGGAAGGGGAGACAATATCGGGATGTCATTAGAGAAGGGGGGGGAGTCCCGGTGGAAATACCAAGTCCAGGTCACAAAACAATGTGTTTGGTCCTGCCAAAGTGGGAACACACTCCTTTGGACGCGGGAGGAGGGGGGGGGGGGAAGCAGACCCCAAAGGCTCTTTGTTGGGAGGGGAAGGGCTGCCCTTCCATCCTGGGTGTTGTCAGTGCTGGATCTCGTGCCCCCAGCACATCCCTCCCTCACCCTCTTGCTCTGCAGCTGAGCTTTGCTGCCTGTCCCAAACCCCGTCCTGTTGAGCCCAGAGAGCACAGAAAGGTTATTTCCAACAAGCTGGGATATTTGGGAAGAATGAAAGCCTGAGGCAGCTCTGTCTGATCCCATCAGAGGGGGCACACTGGGTGCATGTCCCAGCTCCCTGTGTGGATGTTTGTGCCCATCCTCGTGTTCATTATCCCTCTGCTCCTCACCCCACTGACACAGAGCTCTGGGCAGGGAGCGCAGGGCCATGTCCTCTCTCTGTGTGTCACCAGAGGAAGCTGCTGGCACAGCAGAGCCTGCCCGGGGTGTCCCCCCTGCCCCCCTGCCCCTCTGCATCCCTCAGCCTGTGCTGGGCAGTGTCTGGAGCGGTTTGATCCCACCTGGATCTGTGTGACTCCTGCCCCTCAGTGCCACTCTCCATGCTGCTGGCAGTGCCCACTCCAGCCTGGCACCGTCCCCGTGGGGCAGACGGTGACCGTGGTCCCCCCAGAGCCCGCCTGCACCTCGAGAGGCCCTTGGGTTGTTCATCCTCATAGGGTGGGACCCCCACACGTGGCTGTTTGTGCAGTGAGGGTCTCCCCAGTGTCAGGATGGGGATCTGCTGGGATCTGCTGGGTCTCTGGCTCTCCCCCCAAGAGCTGTCAGTGGACCCCAATCCCTCGGGGCTGCTCCCGGAGGGGCTTTGGGATGGAGTGGGGTGTCTCTCTGCCAGGCACTGGCTTTTCCACCTCCACATCCCCCTGTCCCCCAGCGGGGCGGTGGCTCAGTGAGTCACCCGTGGAGCATCCCGGGTGTCCCCTGGGTGCCCAGTGCCAGCACACAGTGCCCTGACTCACCCGCTGGCAGGAGCAGCTCCTGGGGCTGCCGCCTCCTTCCCGATCCAGGGTGAGCATCCTGCGTGGGGGCTCCTTGTGCCGAGGCTTTGCCACCCAGCAGCAGCTTTCCTGGGATAGTCAGGGACTGGTGACCACATGGGGGTTTGTTCTCTGCTGTCGCTTGTGGCCTCTACCCAAAATTCCCAACTCAACACCCAATAACTGGACCCTCAGGCCCCGCAGGGGGATTTGCTGATACCCCCAGAGCGGTGGCACATGCCCGTGGCTGCTGCTCTTTGCCACCTTCCCTGTGCCAGCACAGACATTGACCCCCAGGAGGGTGGGGGGGCAGCCCTGGGGTCACGCCCATGGGTGGAATGTGCTTTGGAGGAGCCAAAATCTGCCAAAGCTCCCGTGTGCTCGTGGAGGAGCACGTGCGTGCCCGTGGCACGGCCCTGGCTGCGCGGCAGTTTAGCCACATTTTCCAACCGTTCCGCCGGAGACGCTGGGCGGGAATTGAGGCCGGGAGATCCCAGGATCCTGCTGCCTCGTCAGGGCTGGGTGGGGACGCCGGGGCCGCTCTGCCAGCGCGTCCCCTCCCTGCAGCTGGGGTGGAGTCGCAGCGCAAAGGGGGGGTGCAGGGGGGGGTGTGGGAACGGGATTCGTGTCCTGCTGCTTCCTCCTGGTTGGAATGACACGGAGCTGGCAGGGAGGGTGTCCCCTGGGATGACACGGACTTGGCAGGGGGGTGTCCCCTGGAATGACACGGAGCTGGCGGGGAGGTGTCCCCTGAGTGCAAGGGTCCCCCCGGGGGGGGCATCGCTGCCAGGCTGCTCCAGGCACCGGGATGTGTCCGGGGCCACTTACGCCGCTTCCCGGTGCATCCCGGGAGCTGGCAGCAACCCCACGGGCCATCTTAAGGTGGAGGAGAAATGGGGGGCTCGGTTAAGGTGGTGCTGGGCGGGGGGGCTGCTCTCGCCTGGGACCCCATTGGCTCTTAGTGGCTGTACTGGGGGGCGGCCAGGGCACGTTGTGTCTCCCACCACTGGCTCGTGGCCTGGGTGGGAGGGCTCTGAAGGGGCTCAAGATCCCCTTTTGCTCCCCACTTCCTCCCCTTTTGCCCCCATCTGCTCCCCCCCTCTCCCAGGGGTTGCTCCCAGCCGTGGGGAGCAGCATCCCAGCTCGGGGCTGTCCTGCTCCTTCCCTCTCTCCCACCACCCCATTCCAGCAGGACCAGCCCGTGTCTCCTGCACCAGCTGCAGGCAGGACCAGCTTGGCCGTGGCCGTGGCGTGGCCGTGGGGCTGAGCTGAGCTCGGAGACGCTCCTGCTGTGCCCGCTCGCTCCCCGCAGCCGCCGCTCCTCGGAGCTGGCAGGACACGGGGATCAGGTGGCTCCGGCGGCTCCCGGTGCCAGATTTACGGCTAATTTGATGCAGCATGTAAACAAGCTGGCCAGTGCCAACTGGCATCGGCTGGCACTTGAGGCTGCAGCACTGGGAGGGTGGCTGGGTGTGCTCGCCCCGGCCCCCGTGGGTGACAGGGGCAAAGCCCTGCCTTGGCTCCCTGCTGCTGGCACCTCATGCCTCCCCCATGCTGGCACTGGGGCTGTGGGGCAGCCGTGGGGTTTGCCCTCATCCCTGTCTCTCCCCCTCCAGGCCTGTCCGGGAACCCGACCGACCTGGAGAAGAGGCGGCAGGTCTTCGGCCAGAACTTCATTCCTCCCAAAAAGGCCAAGACGTTCCTGCAGTTAGTGTGGGAGGCACTCCAGGACGTCACGCTGATCATCTTGGAAATCGCAGCCATAATCTCCTTGGGCCTGTCCTTCTACCACCCCCCGGGTGGGGACAATGAACGTGAGTGCCCCGGGGGTCCCTGTGGATTGGTGGGGGACTCCCGGGAGCCGCCGTGCCCAGCCCTGTGGGAGCAGGGATTTGGGACAGGTGATGCCTCTGGAAGGTCGTGCAGATGGAGCTACATCTGCTCACCCTTTTTAGGTGGTGGCATCTCCCCATCCTTGGGGTCTTTGGTGTGGGCCCCCCCAGGGACCTGCACTGATGTCTGGGCACCACGGGCTCAGAGCTGCTCCTTGCTGCTTCCCAAAAGATGCTCCAAATCCAATGGGTCGATCTGATCCAGTGGCTTCCCACATCCCACAGGGCTTCTTTTTTGCTTTGGGGAGGGAGGGACAAGGCCATCTGTCCCCTGGTATGTCCCCCTGCCCAGGGGGTGCTGTGACACCCCATGGGTGGCTGAGGACTGTGCTGGGCGGGTTTCTCCTCCTGGCCCTGGATCTCGGTGTTGTCGGAGGAGTCGAGCAGGCCCAGGGCTCTGGAGATGCAGGGAGATGTGAGACACAGGGAGATGTGACTCACTCGAGGGTCACGCAGCGCAGGGAGGGCTGGGTGCTGCTGCAGCTGGAAATAGAAGCCAGTTGTCCCAGCTCAGCCCAACTTCTGCCAAAAAGGAAAAGTGATAAAAGAGGAGGGGGGGGGAAATAAAAAAGCAAACCCAACAAAATTCCTCGAGGGATGTAAAAACCCTCTCCTGAGAGCAGGGGAAGCCCAGGCAGCTCAGGGAGGAGGAGGGAGGAGTAACTGTTTTCCAGGCTTGGCGTAACTCTAGGCGGGCGTTGGTTGTGCAATAAGTGTCTGGGTGTGCAAGTGAGTGTCTAGTTGTGCAAGTGAGTGTCTAGTTGTGCAAGTGAG